GAGGTCAAGTAGTTTTATACAAAATAAAAACTATTGGGGATGCGCGGTGGTACTTTGAGTGGTTGAGAAAGAGTTGACCCAACCCCAACAGTATTGTGTCCATCAGGTGAGACTACGTAATCACATCTTGTCGCAAAATCAATTTTGCCCTTTTCACCAACTAGACTTCAAACGCTGGTAAACCTTTCTGAAAGCCCATCCCTTTCTGAACAAGAAGACTATGGGTGCCCTTATGGAGGATCATATTTGAAGCAAGGGTAGACGTGCGGACGAGAATGAACTCTGATAAGGCACGAGAGACTGTTTGCGGTTATTGATGCCGCTTATGGTGGATAAAAAGGATGTTGCGGACATCGTTTCCAGGTTCTGCAGTCTTATGGGAGTGATAATAAGTCGTGAGCAGACAGCGTCGGACAACGTTCGCCGTATTATGAAAAGACTGCCGCCTGTGATCCCTTTGTAGCTAGCGGATTTCGCATATTGGCGATTAACCACACTTGAAGGCATTAACGCTGCATGATCCGGAGTTGCCTGTTCGGCAGGTCCAAGAACCTAACGATCACGCAATTAACCTTCACTGAAGGCTATCATGACAGCTAGGGCCGTGTGCATGCCTTAGCCACAACGAGGAGAAGTTGGACATCGGTAGAGGGATAGTTGTATTTTGTACAGGACGGAGGAAGGGTAAGTTGGATCAAGTAGACTGCCGGGCGAGGAGGACATGTGTGTTGCCTATGGCAGGCGTCCGAGTTTCTAAGGCGAGGGCGTGTCCGTGTCAACCTTGAAGGTGATTGGTCGGCTGTGGTTGACCAAATCGCAGACAGCGCATGTCGTTTTCGGTGATTGGCCAGCCGCGACGTGAGCATCGTCAGACGAACGACTACCGGTAGTAAGTGCTGCGGGCATGTACCAGACAAAGGCGCGGTGTTGCAGCAGACGAAAGCGTGGAGTAGGTCATCACAAGGTCGTTCAAATGTTGGCCAATCGTGGATGACTCACGCAGCCAGCAGCTAAGTTAATTAGCCTTCCTGCCGCGCCGGCCGTGTGCATGACATCTACGACAACGTGGAAGTGACAATCCGATTCATTAGACGGATACTCCCTAGAATACTTCGTGATGTCTACGGTCAGTGACCGATCTCATGAAATATTAACGAACATTCTAAAATTCGTTTTCGGCAAGATCTTATTTCGTAGCCGTACGTGTTAGGGGTTAGGCTTAGGGGCAAGGGGTTAATGTTAGGGTTAGGGATTATGGGCTGGGGTTAGGGTTAAGCCCCCCTATTACTACTGGCCCCGTTTAACGGGTGGCTCGGGCTTGTCTCCTGCAGGTACGGCTACGAAATAAGATCCCATCGCGTTTTCGATTGGGAAAAATTACTTACAGTAGATGTGCTAACTCATGAAATGTCAACCAAAATTTCGAAATGCGTTCTCGTTTCGAAAAGATAAATTAAGTAGTGTTGTAAAACTAATTATGATGCAGCATAAATCTATAATGATCCAGTTACCTCAGGGTGTCGGCTTTCGAAAGAACTTATTTTCGGCTGCAAAAAATGACTTCTTAAGTAGCATGCAATTTCTCATTGATTTTCGATGTCCTTGAAAATTCAATCAAATTTCATGGAAAACATGCATAAAAATATTCATTCTTTTACTTATTCGGTAGAAAATCGCGTCTTCTTCCAATTTCATACTCAAAAGAAGAGTATAATTCGGCTTTAAAAAAGTTTCTAATTGTGAGATTTTTTAATACCATTAAATGGTCGCCCATGAAACGTCATGTATCTGCATTTACGAATGTTGCATGTAAAGTTAACAATATTGCTCAAATCCACTGCTTAATTTTATGAACCTCATATGGTCTCTTCTCAACACCGTATAGAAATGCATGGTTTTCCGTACACGGAAAATATACAGCTTGTAGTTTTTAAACCCTGAATGCAAGTGTAACAGCAGGTCGGGTTCAAAATTATTCGGGAATTAGAAAAGTTTTTTAAAACCGAATTATACTCTTCTTTTGAGTATGGAATTGGAAGAAGACGTGATTTTCTACCGAATAATTAAAAGAATGAAATATAATTGAATTTTCAAGGGCGTCGAAATCAATGAGAAAATTGCATACTACTTAAGTAGTCATTTTTTGCAGAGTATATATCTTGCATGCAGCCGAAAATAAGTTCTTTCGAAAGCCGACACCCTGTGGTAACTGGATTATTATAGATTTGTGCTGCATCATGATTAGATTTACAACACTACTTAACTTATCTTTTCGAAACGAGAACGCATTTCGAAATTTTGGTTGACATTTCATGAGTTAGCATATCTACTGTAACTGGGATTGCAATATTGGTTATCATGCGGCCTAGTCCCATGATATTTCAGAAGTGTTGGGATGTTGGCTTTCGAATGCACACCATTTAAGACGCCTGTAAAGGACGAACTCGGTGAAAATGAACACTACTTACGTAGTATTCATTTATTTCCATTGGTTCTCGGCGCCCTTATAAATTCTTTTTTTTGCATTCAGCTGATGGCAAATCATTTATTACTCAAACGAATATCTTACGATCTTAAGAAGTCTCCAACTATGAGACTTTTTGAGACCGCGCAATGTTCATTCAAATAGCATCGTGCTCATCTATTTATTAATGCTTCCCATGAAGTACGTGACGAAATTCACATAAATTGCATAATTTTATGAGCCGTATATAGTAAAACCACCGATTTTCAATGCATGGAAAGTATACAGCTAGAAGACTAAAGATCCTAAACACAAATACAACGGCAGATCAGCTTAAAATCATTCGAAAATTAAAAATCATTTTAAAAGCTAAATATTCCCTTCCTTTGGGTGTAAAATTTAAAGAAAAAAGTAATTTGGTACCATATGAGCGGAAAAGAGAACATTTTTTCACGTTTTCCACAAAATATATTTGAATTTTAAGTCATCGAAAATCAATAGAAGAATTCACACTACTTAAGCAGACACTTTTTTTAACGAGTTCGGTCTTTGCAGACGGCCAAAGAAAGTGCATTCCAAAGTCGATAACCTGGCATGGCTGAAATATCCCGAGATTATGCTGCACGATAATAAGTATTATAGCCCCACCTAAATAGTCCTTACTAGGCTAAACACATTTCAGAACTTCAGTTAACATTTCATGAGATCGGCTACTGGCTGTAAGAATGAGCGATACAGTAATATTATTATTATTACTATTATTAATATCAAATTCGAAACACAGAACGGGATTTTAGGTCCTAGGGTCCCACAACTCGCTCAAAGACAGCATAATTTCGTGAACAAACTAAATACGCTTCTGGGGAGCATGCAGTTGGTTGGGTCCGACTGTCCAAGGAAGAAGACTATGGCCGACGCCGTTGGACGGTGATTTGAATCAGTAACCTTGCATGTAGGCCTCCGGCTAATCGACCTCTTCCCAACTGGGACCATTCGCGCAGTTGAAAGCCTCGAATTGTCGGCTACCACAGCGCACACACGCGCTTCCCGACCGGCCTTCTCAAGATGCTTGCGCAAGTGAGGGTATGAGCTGCCAGCGTTGCAAAGTACGATGCTACCGATGCTGCTGCCGAGGACGGTCGTATTAGTGTGGGCGTTTTCATCGATTGTTCGCAAGTGTTGGGTAGCATTGTAACAATTTGGAGACTAGCCCTGGCCTTCTATCCTTCCTTCATATTATTCTCCGTCTCCAATCTCGTGATCAGAACGTGCGGGTGGGGGGGAGGCGTTGTAGTTAGCCAGAGGGCTCCAAGAAAAGCCTCTCCTGCAGTAAACCAAACCTTATGTGCAGAAAGTGAATGTCACTTACGAGGAGGGCCAGAATGCAGATCAGCTATCAGTTTAACCGTGTAGTGAAGCAGTAAGCAGTATAAACCCGAATCCATAATCAGACAGCAAATCATGCCGCCCAAAGACCTGCCACCAGTGATAGAACGATCAGGGGCGGTCTCTGGCATGCCATGCCTCAATTGTAGTGCAAGATATGTTGGTGAAACGGGCAAACGCCTTGGCACAAGACCGCACGAACACCAGTTTGCAACAAAACGCAAGGATAAGCTGTCCGTGGTCGTTGCCCCCATACAATAGCAAAACCGCAGTTTTGCTTTGAGAAAGTGGGGGTGCTAGGCTGAAGCAGTGATCAGATGACCAGACTGGTGCTCGAACGTTGGCCCTAGAATATAATGAGTAACTAAGCCATAGACCTGCATTCCGCCTATCAGGCGCCCGACACAAGGATGGAGTCACGTGGGGTCGACGCCCACGGAGGAGAAGCGACAACCGGAAGTCACGTGACTGATGCGGTACTGCCTCTCCGAGACGCC